ATTTAAAAATTATGTAGAATTAGAAATGCATAATTGGATAGCTTATAGAATGGTCTAATTAACTGAGGTTCTGGAATGCTTACTTTCCATGGCTTAAAATTCATCATGTCATATAAAACAAAATGGCCCTAGAGATTGTTGCCTAAATGCCTAACTCGGCCACGTAACATTTTCTGTTGCTTCACCTTGCACACCTTGGTGGCTCACTGCTTTGGGAGAATGGAAACCCATCACATGCTCGTCACCATGACCTGTTTCTTAAGTCAGCTTATTATCTCTCTAGCTTTCCTGCAAATTGCTTTGGGTTGGAGGTTAACAGAAACATAAATGAGAACGGAAAATGTCATGCAAAGTTCTCCTTTTCTCCAATGCTCCTCACTCAAAACACTTATTTTTATCTCATTTCTGCTTCTTGTTTTTTTATCTATATATTTTTCTTTAAATGTTTCAGGTCATAAATTTACAATTACGTTTTTGCTTTTATCACTTAAGATATATATTTCATAACTCATTTTCCTCGTTCCTCATGGTATATCGGGCCAGTCTGAAAAATGTAGCCGAGGCTTTGTTCATTTGGGGAGGATTATAAACACGAAGGACGGGGAGAATGTCACAAAGCTAGACAGTGTCACAGGCTCTCGCTTGCTGCCCCCCGGCTCGCAGTGCTCACCTGCCCTGGTCTCTCCCCCGCCTGTGCGTGGTGGTGCCATCTCCACACCGTTCCACAATCCATGCCTGACCACCAGCCTTTGCTAGATCCCAAACCAGGCCCCCTACTGGATGGCCCGTGCATGCAGATCCAGCCACATCTGAAGCAGACTTTTCAGTTCTGGAAGCTAATTATTTCCGTGTTTGGATTAAGCATGGTTAAAATTATGTTTCTCTTTTCTATAGCCATGTTAGTCTGAGCACATTTTCATCTTTATATCTTCTGCAGAGCTGGGCAGTAGTGTCTATGATATGATGAATAGTGTCTCAATTATTAATCATCCCACTATTTGAGAATTAAAGTACATATTCTATGACATAAAGTTTGTGGCAGAAATAAGTACAGAAAACTTTTAATTCTGTTGTTTCATTCACTGAAACTCATTTCTAAAATAAGGGCCAAAAGTAAGCTTAAAAAAAGTTTTTGTCATTTATTTATTAGACATAAATTTATTACAAAACCAACTCGCAGATATTTAAAAATATTTTAAATCACAAATAAATCATAATCCTTTAAAATATTAAGAGTTAAATTATATTTTACATTTATAGAATATCAAATGTAAGAATTAGAACTGGATGTCTGGTTATGTTCATGTAACAAAATAATGTAGATAAAATATGACAAATATGTTAAGAAATATACAAACAACATATATTTATAACTTGTAAACCAATTTTATTTGGTTCCATGAAAAGTAGAGAAAAATGGTGCATTTGATATTTAATGTGAATCTTTTGGTAAACTAAAACAAATGTAAAATTTGTATCTTGACTTTATAGGCAAGATGTGACCTTATAAAACTTATCACTGGATGACCCTGGCCAGGGGGCTCAGTAGGTGGGAGCGTTGTCCTGTGCACCAAAAGCTTGCCAGTTCCATTCCCAGTTGCAGGGCACATACCTAGGTTGCTGGTTCAGTCCCTGGTCACTGGCCCGGGTGCATATAGGAGGCAATCAATGGATCTCTCTCTCTCTCAAATCAATAAAAACATATCCTTGGGTAAAGATAAAAAGAAGAAAGTTATCACTGGATGTATTAATTTTATACTTTCCTCTGCACCTGTGATGCAGGCAGGTTGCTGAAATTCATTTGTGGTACTTACTTAAAATTTCTTGAAATACAAAAGTAAGTTTACAGCTGATCATATGGAAAAACACATGCAGGTTATGTCTATTACAATAGTTTATTAACTCAAGAGGATGTCACAATGCAACTGTAAATGTTCCTTTTGCTAACCCTTGTGTATCAAATAGAGCAATTCTTTCCATTGATTCACAGTTCCTTTTCTTCCAATTTTTCAAAATATAATTTAGCATCACTGCAGTTTTAAATAATCTCATTCATTAAATGTCACCTTAACTGAGGTTTTCCAATTGCCCTTATTTTCCAGATACTAGTGAGATACAAGTATGATTTATTTTCAGATGATGAGAGAACAATGGAAATAATATCGAATGATAAAAATTGATATGGGGTTATCATTTTTATAAGAGGTTAATTAGGAGGGCGTTGTACCCATAAAGCACTTAACTCTTTAAGCACCTTAACATCTGAAAGCCTCATTAATGAGTCCCGGATAATGGAAAGAACCTTTAATCCTAAATGCTGCAGATATTGGTCTGGCCATACACATCATACAAAAGAGATTCAAATCAACAAGATTACAGTCAAAACCTGAAGAAGAAAATCCATTATTAGAAAATCTTATGTACAATATAAAAATATTCATCATAACCACAGAAGTATTTAGTTTTTATTTCTTACTTTATATTAGTAAAATATCAACTGTGGTTTACTGGAGGAGCATAAAAATGAGAACATAGGTGAAAGAAATTTCTAATTCTTAAAACATCAGCAAAATAATTTTCTGTACATAATTCAGATTAATGTAAGATGTGTAGGTATGATTTCCAGAAGATGTAATTTTCTTCCATGCTACCATCCATGATACAAGCCAGAGCAAGTTTTCATAATTTACCACAAGTGCACTATAATTCCTTTAAACCAGACTTAGATCAAGTTTCATTTAAAAGCTATTACATTTTATGTGCCTCATTTTCATTTGCCAAATGTGTTGTGCTAAGCCTGGATGTTTCCTCATGGTGCATAACACATGATAAGACACATAAAAATGCAAAATAAATATTTGTTGACAGATCAATTTTATTTTACAATTTGATCATTTAGACTTTTGAAATAGTTGTGTTGTTTTCTTGATTCTTAGTGCATTAAAGTGCTATCAATTACAATTCTTAAATTTGTTATTTCAAAAAGAAATAAATTTTAGCCACAAGGGGCATAGACACTAGAATGTGAAAGGCAGTTTTTGTTTTGTGTTTGTATGTTCTTTAGAAAATAGAATGTGTTCTGTCTCTTTCTAAGTTATTAAAATATTCTGGAGAAAAATATTAGTTGAAATCTTGAAGTCCCCTTTATTAAATTTAAAGAAAACTGCGTGGTAACAAATCTTTATAAAACAGGTTATTTGCTCAGCAAATAGATCACCAAAATAAAGTAAAAAACAAACAGCAATAACAATAAAAGGCATGTCTTAGTTACAAATAATTCCAAATAGCATACTTATGCTTTCAGGCATTGATTTTACAAAGTAACTTATTGAGGGGTGGAAAAGAGAAAAATGGAGAAAGGTTCAACATGGTGGATTTTATCATTGATTGAAATTTGGTCCAAAAAAGCACAAGCACACATCAGTATTGTGTGAATTATTCTGAGAAGGATAGGGAGCTTGGAGGATTAGAAAGAAAAACTAACATGAGCACTAAGAATTCATTTTTTATGAAGAAATAAAAAAATATTTGATATCAACATTTGCATTAAATCTATGGACACTTATTTAAAATGAATGTCTCTATTTGTTTGATGCAAATAATTCTCACACACATTGAATTAGCCTGCAAAATGGGCTCATACCAGGAAAAAAAATTACTATGATTAGAGCACTCATTTTTAGAGTTAACTACAAATGGCTCACATTTCTTTTTAATTATATATAAAGTTCACCCAACATATCTGCAGTGCCTATTAAAACTAAAGAGAAGAGTGACCTGAGATGGCAGTGTTGGAGGAAAGCTGATGGGACCCAGCCTCAATCCATAGAATGTTGGTGGTTATCTAGTTCAACTTCTGCACACTCTGCAGCTGGAAAACTAAATTCTCAAGCCAGGAAAGCAGCTTTCTCAGGGTCACAGCAGATGTGTGGCTCTGAGTCTCATGAGGGTGACCACAGTGTCCAACTTGCTCATATTTTATTACCAACTCATAGCACAGTGTCTGATACATGGTGGGTGTTCTAGAAATATTTTGGGTGTGCCAATGAATGAAAAAATGAATTCATGAATGAATGAGTGAATGAATGAATGAGACAATGCCAGAACTAGGGTAGACTATTTTCAAGAATAAAAGTTTGTCAGCATCTTGGTAATTAAAATGATCACTTGTTCTGTTTCCACAAGTCCCTCAAAAATGTTCTTGTTTGGGTGATATCAATTTAAGAGACAATTTCAGGTGCCTATAGAAACTGATACACCAACTGGCATTTTGAAGGAATTTTAATTCTCTTTAGTCTTTTAATTTATCTGTGGTGTTGCTCATCAGTAGAGTTACAGCTGTTTGAAGAGACTTTGTCAACTCCACCCTGGGACACTCAACTGACTGAACTGCACTACACATAACCCTACTCACATATGCGTTATGTCTTCAGGCAATGATGAAGGCAAAGACGCTTGTTTCTACCCCAGCCCCAGCTACTTGAACACTCAATAACAGAGCAGTTATAGCACTCCTTCTAAAGGCAGTTTTCAGCCCGGCCGGCATGGCTCAGTGGTTGAGCTTTGACCCATGAACCAGGAAGTCTAGGTTCGATTCCCAGCAGGGTTACATGCCCAGGTTTCAGGCTTGATCCCCCGTAGGGGGCGTGCAGGAGGCAGTCAAGGGCTGTTTCTCTCTCGTTGATGTTTCTATCTCTCTATCCCTCTCCCTTCCTTTTTCTGAAATCAATAAAAGTATAAAATAAAGGCAGTCTTCAGAAATGAAGAGGAGCAGGAGAGCGATACAAGTGAGAGAGTGGAAGCTGTGAACATTTAAACTGCTTGATGAAGGAAGAAAATCTGTTAGACTTGATATAATTGGAACAGCATGTGTAGGTCTCAAAGGAATATAAAGGCAATTGGAAAATACCTTTTCAAGTACAGGGAGGAAGTCAACAGCAGGTGTTGGTGGGTAAGCAAGTCAAACCTAGGTGAAAGAAGAGCAGGCATGTTTCATTACAGAATCTTGGAAACCATTCCCTGCAGATTTAAGTGTGTAATTGAGAGTGACATTTAAAGTGGCAGGAGACAGTCTGGGAAATAACTTCAGTATTCCACACAGTCAGGTTCAAGTGCAAGAGAGGTCTTTGTAAACAGAGTTCATGGCAGAACTTTGTGATAAAAGTGGAGTCACTAAGACTGCTTAGGGACCCAGGTAAACTTCCAGCCTCCTGCCTCATCTCTACAAACAAAGGCTTGTCCCTGGTGGAAGGAATGAGTTTTCACGTTACAGTGAGGGCTCAAGGACGTGGAAAAGGCCATCTCCGTCTTATTGGGTGACACATCTGAAGTATAGTAAGGAGGAGTTTGCAGTGCTCCTGGGGGATTGGAAAGTTGAGAAAGGAAGTGAAAATCTTCCCCAGGGTCGGCAGTGCTGCAGGAAGGGGTTGTTCTCTCACCTCCATAGTCAATTGGCAGATCCTCCCCGGGGGCGTTTCCATAATCAACTGCATGCTCTGGAAACTGGGGAAATGTGCTGGTGATTCTTCTGGGATGAGAGGAGAGGGCACTGTAGTTAGCTGATAAGGTGTCATCAATGGTGTTGAGGTCTTTTAACCCAAGTGTTTGAAGGACCCAGGGATCCACAGGGGGTCCAGGTTGTTTTTCACAGTTAGCAAACTCACTGGAGAGGTTCCTCTTGGCATTTTTTCGATGGGGGATCTCAGGAGGAAAATAGCTTTGCTCCTTGGGTTTTCTCTTCCCCTTTCTGAGTTTTCCATATGCTTTGGAGAAATCACCTGATGACAGTAATTTCTGGGGAAGTAAGATTTGCAAATATACACAGTCAGGTAATCAAGCAAGATTGCTGTTGTCTAATTACACCTACTTCAAACAGTGACTAGTCTCTGTAAGTCCTTAGAAAACTTGATTAAACTTCTATTTTACACATACACACACATGCACAAGTAAAACTGATTGCATTAGCTTCTGTTTCTAAATTTAAATCTATGATGAGAATTTACTACCTAGAAACCCAGACTCTCCAATATAAATGAGAGTAAATGATGTCTTTAAAATTTTAATCCAAGGAAGTAATCACTATTATTATAATGAAAATAATAGCAATTATCATGTATTAGACATTGGTTACATGCATGATCACATTTTGTTTTAAGTACTATTAAAATCTCCTTTAATGAAGAAACTAAGGTATGGGCATATTGATGACTTGTTAAAAATCATTCAGCCTAGATTTACACCTAAACCATGTATTAAACTATACTACAAAGCCATTGTAATAAAAACAGCCTAGCACTGGCACAAGAGCAGGCATACAGCTCAGTGGAACAGAACAGAGGACCCAGAAATCGGCCCACACCTTTATGGTCTGTTAATATTTAACAAAGGAGGCAAGAGCATGCAATGGAGTGAAGACAGTCTCTTCAATACATGGTGTTAGAAAATTGGACAGGTACATGCAAAAAAATGAAACTCGAAATGGATAAAAGACTTAAATGTAAGTCATGAAACCATAAAAACCCTAGAAGAAAACATAGACAGTAAAATCTCAAACAGCTCCTGTAGCAGGATTTTCATCGACATGTTTCCTAGGGTAAGAGGAACAAAGGAAAAAATAAACAAATGGGACGACATAAAACTAAAAAATTTTTGCACAGTAAAAGAAACCATCATCAAAATGAAAAGGGAGCCCACTGCATGGGAGAACATATTTACCAGCAACACGTCTGATAAGGGGTTAATTTCCAAAACATAAAGAACTTACACAACTCAACCAAAGGAAGACAATCCAATTAAAAAATGGGCAAAGGACCTGAATAGACACTTCTCAGAAGGGGACATACAGGTGGCCAAGAGACATATGAAAAACTGCTCAATGTAACTAATCATCAGAGAGATGCAAACCAAAGAATGGCTGCCATCGATAAATCAACAAACAACAAGTGCTGGTGAAGATGTGGAGAAAAGGAAACCCTGGTACACTGCTGGTGGGAATGCAGACTGGGGCGGCCACTGTGCAAAACAGAATGGAGGTTCCTCAAAAGATTAAAAATGGAGCTGCCATTTGACCCAGTGATTCCACCTCTGGGAATGTATCCTAAGAATCCTGAAATGCCAATCAGAAAAAATATATGCACCCCTATGTTCATAGCAGCATTATTTACAATAGCTAAGATCTGGAAACAGCCCAAGTGCCCATCAGTAGGTGAATGGATAAAAAAACTGTGGGCCCTGGCCGGGTGGCTCAGTTCATTGGAGCATCACCCCATACACCAAAAGGCAGAGGATCCGGTTCCCAGTTAAGGCACATACCTAGGTTGCAGGTTCGATCCCTGGTTGGGGTGCTTATGGGAGGCAACATACTGATGTTTATCTCTCACATCAATGTTTCTCAATCTCTCTCCCTTTCTCTCTCTAAAGTTAATAGAAGTTTATCCATGGGTGAGAGGAAAAAAAAGGTGTGGCACCTTTACACCATGGACTATTATGGGGCCATAAAAAGAAGGATCTCTTATCTTTTACAACAGCATGTATGGACCTGAAGATTATTATGTTAAGTGAAAAAAGCCAGAGAAAGAAGCACCATATGATCTCACTTATATGTCGAATCTAATGAACAAAATAAACTGACGAACAAACTAGAACCAGAGGCACGGATCCATGGAACAGACTAACAGCTGTCAGAGCTAACGGGGGAGGGGGAAACTGGACGAAAGGATTAGCCAAAGAACATATATGCATAACCCAATGACACAGACGACAGTGTGGTCATGGCCAGAGGGAAGAGGGAGGGGACTGGGTGGACATGGGCAAAGCCAGGAGGGAAATGGGACATCTGTAATAGTGTCAACAATAAAAATAAAGTTAAAAAAATAAAAATAATATAAAATTAGTTGCAATTACGGTCCCAAAAGAAACACTATGTAGCACTGCTTCCTCTTATTTCATTAACTTTCATAGCACTCTCATGTGATATGTATTATATTATTCTAAATCTTGCAAAATTCAGAACAAGGGAGAGAAAACCGCCTAATTAATGTCACTTCCTAATTTAATAACTGTTCTCTGGAGTTAAGGGTTCTGGCTACTAATGATGAGATGTGCTCCCTTTTTTAACAAAGCTAACAAAATAGTGCGCCCTTTTTTCTCTGAACTATTATGTCCAGTAAGAGTAGTAAGAAGCATCATCAGTTTAGATAAAATAATATCAAATAGTGTGGCTTGTCTAGAAGTAAGGTAAAGATTGATAGAAGCAATAATAATAACAGAATGACAAAGAACTTTTAGCCCATTCATTTACAGGTGAAGGTAACTGAGGCCCTAAGCGACAGCTCTTCACCAAAAGTCAGATACTTAGAAGAACCTAGTGTCTCTCAGATCTGCTTCCCTCTCTAATGTTCCATCCATCTCTGCCTTTTTATTAATTTCCGTGGTCTCAGCAATCCCCTTAACTGGCTTTTGATTCTTAAGCGACGTCTTTTGTAATATATGACTGAAACCTGCAATGTAGTTGCTTCCAAGAAATGATATATGAAGATTCTGCCGAAAGTGTTATATTTTGTTTAGAGAAATCCGTCCATCCTCTAAATGCATTTGAAGGCACTTTGTTTAGTATGCTTCCTCATTTAATCAAGGAGTTTTACCCAGACGGTCTCCTTTCTCCAATCAGCACTCTGTCCTTATAAAGGGGAGAGGTACATACCTTGGCTTTTTCCTCAAGACATTTAACCAAAGCAGAATTCAGGTATTGTCTGAGGTGATTGTTTTCTTCATGCAACCTAGCAAGTTCTTCTTCCTTCTGCACCAGAGTGTCTTGGAGCTGCAAAAGGCAGACAATGGTGAGGGCCGCTCCACTATATTGACTTTGTAACCTTATAATAGTGCCACTGATCCTTCACCTGCTTAAACCTGATTATAATTTTGTTTGTTTTAAGAACTCTACCTCAGGGAGCCCTCGTCCTCAGAGGCCTAAATTCAGTCTACACCCACCTACCACCTGATTGTTCAGTTTGCGCTCTGAATTTTTTCCACTGCAAAGTGTTTGAAGAGATTATATGACTTTGAAAATAGCAACCACAAGGGAAGGTATGTAGGAAAATGAACTGCGTGCAACTGTTTAAATATAGAAAAAAGGTGTATGAAAACGTTTTTGCTGGACTCCTTCCTTACACCTTACAAAAAAGGGAAGAAGAACAAAGGTGGGTGGGCTTCCCCAGCCTCAGATTGACCTTTTTGTGTGTCCACTCGATTAGATTCAGTTACTCTCTTAAGAACAGCTACAAGCAAAACATGGAACATGAAGCAATCTTCGTAAAAAAACGTATAATCATCGTTCCTTCACCAAGTGAGGAGCTATACTTATGGTTTAAAAATATTATGACACTCACTATATCATTTGATCTTTCCAGCAGCTCTCGGAGGAAGGCAGCCCAACTATTTCAGTTTCATAGATAAGTAGAAAGGATTGAAGAGGTCATACAATTGGTAAACTATGTAGAGGTAGGCCTTGACCTCTGGTCTTCTTGGAGGGTTTTGGTTGGTGGTGGTGGTGGTTTTGGGGGGCAGGGGGTTGTTTGTTTGATTTTTTCTTTGGTATATTCATCTAACTTGTATCACTCTATAGACCCATATCCACTTTGGTCAGCAGATGAGTTTCCAAGGGAAAGGAAGCAGTGTGACATTAGCGACAACATTAAGAATGGACTGCGGGAACATGGCCGGTCCCAGGGTTCTGATTATCTGTACATACCTGCTTGTTTCTGTAGAGCTGAGAGGAAAGCTGAGCCTCTTCCCACGAACAAGAGTTAGGAAGAGGGAAATTCAAGTCACTAGATGATTCTATGTGGAAACACCAAAAAGGTAACTGAGAAAACACACTTGCAGTTGTTGGGTGATAAAGAATTTACCAAAGGATTTCAGAAAGTTTAATAGATTCAGTTTCCTTCCCCAAAATAGCCATTGCCTCCTCACAGGAAAACAAAATATTTAAAGCTTTAGGAAGGGGTCAGCATCCTATGAAAGACAAATATTTATAGACCATATGCCAGAGTGGCTACAGAGGTGAATTTTTAAGAACTAACAAGTCACATCCCTCCCTAATATATGTATTCCTGCTGGCTAAATGTATAAAGATGGTCTCATCCCCATTATTAATGTATTCAAATATTTACTGATCCTCCCCCCCACTAGGCATAACATTGCAATTCCACTATGTTTTTATCTTATTTTCTAAGCTTTACTGCTTGAAAAATGTAGTGTTTGGCTCCAGAATAAAATTCTATTTTTGATGCTACCATTCCCCCCCAGATGAAAATCTCTGCTTGTCTGCCTGCCAGTTAAATCTGATGGAGAACATTTATGCAGAATTTTATGTGGTCGCAATTTCTATTTTACAGTAATTCCGACCTTGCTTTTTTGACAACATTGGAGAAATCTCAGAACTGTAACTCAGACTCATGCATTTCAAATGTCATTCTTTGTATGTTTTATATGCTTTATATGTTTTGGGGTGTGTATTTTTTTCATATTTGACAGCAAGCTATACCTACCAACAAAGACTATGCGTGGGCATGCTACATTGGTTTACTTTTATCTTTTTTCCCTCACCTAGTATAGTTCTGACTCTTGCCTTTCTCTACTTACACTGAAATACTACTGAAATGTTTTTGATTAAACATTTCACAATGACTAAGGGGACAATAATAAAATTTTATACAGTTTGGGTCTATAATCTTGGGCATTCTGTTTCTCTGCTGCTTGTAGTAGAAAGCAAAACCTGAAAAACTCTCTTCTGATATATGTGTTTTTCAATAGTTTGGGAATTTTTGTGCCTTTTCTCAAATTAATGTATAAATACTGTTTACTAAGCCCCAGGTCAAAATTAATATGTAATTTTCCATCAATGTTATACTTCCCTCCAAAACTGAAGTTTTCTTTGGGCAAAAAGGAATCATTTTCTCTACTTACAAGACACTGTTCATAGAATTTTATCTATGAAATAAAATATTAAGTTAGTATTTTCTTTACTTCCCTCTCATTTCCAGGGAAACTTTCCTGAATTCCAAAAGAAATGCTTTAATTGGTGTCTTGACTTCAAAAGCATCCCATTAGCATTGCTTATAAAACTTTGATCCAGACGCAAACTCCCTCAGCAAGTTGGAAATCTCCAAGAATTGAAAAGTATAGGGAGAAATACAGACTGTCCAACAGGAAAGGGAAAGAATCCCATTGTCACTATTTGGCAAGTATGAAAGAATAAATTATTTAGCTTGTAAAATGCAGGAGTCTTTGGGCTTTCTTAAACTTTCCATACCATCCCTTCTACAGAGTTCCAGCTCATGATGCTTTGCAACTATGGGTGCTGGAAAAGGGCTTCAGATCTACCAGGAAAGCAGAAGAGCAGAACTTACCCTGTGCCTGTGGTGCTTGTTGGGTCTCTCTGTCGTCCAGGAGACCAGCAGCCCAGAAAGAGACCCAAGTCTCCGTGGAAACGTCAACACTAGATTCTGACGTTGTAGTGGAATACGGGCAATTGTAGCTCTGGCCTCCTACAAAGTCCTGGTCTTGGCAAGGCAGAACGGTGTTCTGTGAAAATCAGTACGAAAGGGTAGGGGGTTACCCAGGAGGTGCAGTGATGGGGATTTGGAGAGAGGAAAGGGTGGGAGAAAATGCCAAAATTACATGCAGTGACTCAAAAACAGTAAAGGTACTAAGTACGGGTCCCAGGTTAATTTTGAGTGGTCAAAATAGAAATACTAGAAAGGAGTCAGCTCCTTGGTTTACCCAGTACTTTCCCAAGGCCCTCTCAGCGAAGAACAGGCTAGTATTGGAGGGGCCAAGTCTGTACATAACCAGGAGTATTCCCCATTGCCAGGTCTGGGTCATCTAACAGGCTACCCAGGAATTAAGTGAGAGGAATTCTACTGAATGATTCAAAGACGTAAGAACTATTTGACTCTTTCTAGCAAATATCTTAATTATATTTCCAGTAGCCTTGAAAGACAAAGAACACTAAGGCTGAAATAAACAGGGCAACAAAATATAATCTAACTTCCTTATTTTAATGTCCTACTTTCTGAATTATAAACATGCCCCATTTGTCTCTTTTTCCTTCCTCTGGTTTCCAATGCTGCTGGATCCTGTGGTGATCTGAATGGCCTGAGACTCATATGTAGATATAGCCCAGGGATAACTAAATAAATATCGCTCCTGACTCCTAACTCTAAGCACGAAGCATAAAGTCACTCCAAGTCAACATATAATCGAAGCTGAGATAAATTAGTCAGCAGAGACAGCAAGCTCTAGGTCTCCATCCCTAGGTCTCAGTGCCCTTCCAGAGTTATCTCGCCTTCCCTGACTCCCTGGCACGGGTCCTCCACCGTGTTCTGAGCCAGTGAACACCCTCCTGCCCCCGACTCCTCAGAGCAGGCTTTCCAAATGTCCAGGCAGGGGCAGGTATGCAGCGGCCCCCCTGGGTTAATTTGTACAACAACCCATTTCTAATGATCTGTCAATGTTTAATCAGGTAAAAGCCATTCATTTTAGCAGAGCCCAGCTTTGGACAAACTCTTTTTGACCACCCCAAAGTCTTTTGTTGACTTGAGGATTTTCTTGGGCATAACATAAACAAAGAGAAAACAAATACGAAAAAGAAAAAAAAAGTTATTATTATTATTTTTTTTAAAATCACACTTTGTTAATGTTCCCCGGTAAATTACGTTTTGAAAAAGTCCCATTTTGAAGCTGGTCCAGCTTGGGCAGTGCAGACCAAAGAAATTCAGCCAAGAGTTTATCAAGTGCTATTTTCTTTTATTCTAAAAGCATGTTTGTAGGCTCTTTTCCTGAGGTTATTACTGGAATTAGAGTTGAGCTATTATGCAATCGACACCTGAGAAGAAAACAAACCCCCAATAGCCCTAGACTAGGTCAAGCCCAAGTGTTTGCAAATATGTGCATAATCTAGAGAAAGAGGTGGAATGAAAAGTGAGTGCAGGTGTGCAGGGGGAGAAAGCTGGGAGAAGGTACAGAGAGAAGGAGTAACAGAGGGCGAAGGATGAGAGATGGGGGGAGGGAGAGGGGGAGGGAGGGAGAGATCAGGAAAAGTCAGGGAAGGGGAAAGGGGAGACCCGTCCTGACAGGGAGCAGAGAGATCTTGCTTCCAAGGGGGGAAACTCTAAATGCCGAGCGTACTAGCTCGGGCAGCCCGGGTTTCACCGCCGACGAGCTGGCGCAGGCTCCTCACTTACCATCCTGCAGGGGAAGAAGGCGCTGCGGAAACCGAGCCCACTCTTAATTTTTCGGTAAAGCCGGTGGGAGTTTAAATGGGACCGAGGGGAGGAGCCAGGGGAGGCGAGTTCTAATCCCAGGGAGCTGCGGGGGGCGCCGGGCTGGGCGAGCGCCGCCCTCTGATTTGGTGCGAGGCTGTCACACTGGTGACGTGGGTCAGGAGGCACCCTGCCAAGGCCAAAGTCACTAGCACGCGGGGCGCCCGCCGGGACCTGAACC